CTGTGATAGTGGTTAGTAAGAAGAATGGAAAAAAATGTTTTTGTATAGATTATCGGAGAATTAATGCTGTGACAAAGAAGGATACGTACCCCTTACCATGGATCGATGAAATGCTAGAAAACTTGGGGAATGCAAAATGGTTCTCCTCGCTCGACCTCGCCAGTGGATATTGGCAAATTGGGATGGAAGCCTCAAGTATAACGAAGACCGCCTTCATTTCACGAGAAGATCTCTATGAGTTTAATGTGATGCCATTTGGCCTCTGTAACGCTCCTGCTACTTTCCAACGGGTGATGGATGCAATGTTGGGAGATTATAATTGGAATTTCGCAATGGTCTATATCGATGACATCAACATTTACTCCAAGAATTTCGAAGAACACCTACGGCACCTATAAAAAGTTTTTCAGCGAATTAGGGAAGCAGAACTAAAATTAAATGCAGAAAAATATAACCTTGTAAGAAAAGACCTACCATTCTTGGGCCATATAGTAACCGATCAAGGTATTATGACTGATACATCCACTGTTAGGAAGATCCAAGAATTCCCATGACCGCGTACGGTTTGCTCTCTTCGTTCATTTCTTGGATTAGCAGGTTACTATCGAAAATTTGTTAAGGGCTTTTCACAGATTGCCGCACCGTTATTTCACCTATTAAAGAATAATGTTAATTTTAGCTGGAAAAGGGAACAAGAAAGAGCATTTGAAGAACTCAAAAGACAACTGATCTCAGCACTGATCTTGATGTATCCAGATTTCTCTCGGAAGTTTTACTTATACACAGATGCTTCAGATACAGGCTTAGGCGTGATATTGTCGCAGAAGGACGACCAGAATCGAGAACACGTAATTGCCTATGCTAGTATTTCACTTAAGGTGGGAGAAAAACGCTACAGTGTAACGGAAAAGGAAGCATTAGCCATCGTCTGGGGAGTAAGACAATTCTGACATTATCTTCTTGAAACTCTTTTTGAAATCGTCACCGATCACAGTGCGCTCCATTAGCTGTTCACCAAGCAGGTTAATCCTGGTCCACGAGTGTCCCGTTGGATAATGATGATGTTGGAATATACATTCACTGTTTCTTACCATCCTGGAAAACTCAACCAAAATGCCGACACGCTCTCTCACATTAACCAAAATTAGTAGTGGAACAAGAATAAATCCGAGCAGTCGAACAAAACGATTAGACAGTGGCAAGGAAACAAAATTTAAATAATAAAAATGAATCAAATCAACTGAATTATTCACAAAAACAAATAATGGAGATAAACACTTATAATAACTTATTACACTACCTGGAAAATGGAAGTTATCCCATAGGATGCGCGGAGAAACAATAACAACGAATCAAGAATCAAGCAAAACACTATATAATACGAGAAGGATTATTATATAAAATCAATAGAAGAAAAGAACCAAGTAGCCCTCTACGAGTCCTGAAGAACATGGAAATGGAAGCTATTATGACTTACATGCATGGAGACTTACTCTTGGGACACTTCACGTACGAAGGAACTTATCAACGTATTGCTGCTTGTTACTGGTGGACTGGTATGGGAAGTGATATCCGTGACTTCGTAAAGTCATGTCAGACCTGTCAACCAACCGGTAGACGAAAAACCAAACAACCTCTTTTACCTATTAAAATCGGAATGCCATTCGACCGAATCGTAATTGATCTGGTTGGGCCGTGTAAGTCAATAGCAAATAGAAACCGGTATATCGTTGTGGCCATTGACTATCTTACAAAATGGCTGGAAGCTCAAGTGATACCTGACAAGAAAGCCAGTAACATTGTGACATTCATTTTTGAAGACATAATTTGCTGACATGGTTGTTCCAAAGAAATCCAGTCAGACAACGGATCTGAATTTGTCACCTCCATCATAAAATCGCTTACCAAATAGTTCAACATACAGCACAAGTTCTCCTCCCCGTATCATCTGCAAATGAACGATATTGTCGAATATTATAATCGAACCCTTTGTTTAATATTGCAGAAATATTGCATCGAATTGGATACTGAATGGGATGTGTACATCCCTGCCACTCTGTTCGCCTATAGAATATTAAGAAACATTAATACAAGACATGAGCCATTTTTTTTGACATATGGGCGCAAAGCAAGACTACCTATTGAATTTCAATACGAAACTCTCACAACAAGCACCGAAAATATAGAAGAAATTATGAAAAACCGAATCTTTACTATTATACACCACTTACCTGATCAAATCCAAATCGCACGGAGTAATGCACATGAAGCCCAACAAAGAACAAAAGAATGGCACGATCGGAAAATTCGACAAACACCGGCATTCAACATTAGCAAAAAAGTGTTAATATACAACATGGTACAACATGCGCTAAAAGGAGACAAGTTCAAAGCCCAATGGAGTAATGAGTGGTACTATGTTCACGAGGTGTATGGCAATAACGTCTACAAGCTACGAAATCAACGTGGCCAAGTAATCAAGAAACCCTTTAATGGCACACAGCTCAAACAATACTATGAAAAACAGAATTCTCTGGAACATGTGTCAACATCTTAATTATGGAATGATCAGTGTCGTAACATTGATCAATGATCACATAGAACGAATATTATTTAAATGCCCCCGCCCTTTACCTTTCTACCACTCCAAAGGAAAAACAAAGCAATGAGCAACAATATCTGGCTAAATGAAGAAGTTGTAGCTTTTACATTGCAACTCACTTGGCTACTACGAAAACACGGTTTTGACGGCACTATTAATTTCACAAAGGACCAACTACTTCTCGTCGAAAAAGAACAGATGCAAGTCATCGATCTCGACCCATTAATAGGTAATGCAACTCCGACCAAATTGAGACCGGAAGTAATAATCCATGATGAAGTGACTGAAACTGGTACCAGTAACTCCAAAACAATGATATCTGGGATTCAAGAACGTTTCGAGTCCACCACACTTGCATGGGAGAAAAAGATTGAACTAGCTATTATAACCCTCACTCGACCTGAAGGAACAAATGCTCTTCAGCTATGACAATACTACCATCTTGGCGAACTAATCCATAACATGCCACTACGGCATAAGCGACGACTCTACATTCTCAAAAGGGGAATCAAGCAGCGGAATAATATTATTGCGATCGATCGTCACTGGCAAATTGGAAAGCGTACTTTCCGACTATTCCGACATGGTGGTCCGGATAAAATTGGTGAGCAACTGTCCTTAACGCCCGACAGTATATCCCAGCTCCGACTAGAGCAAATAAAGGAACTTAGTCAGCAGTTATAATGATTTCAACGGAGCTCAATCTCGTAGAAGGGGCAAATGTTACAATTATTTCGTTAAAATCAGTAATTCCGGAAATCATGGAGGGAATCATCCTAACTGCAACATCACATACTTTCCGACCTCCTATTATTCAGCATTATTCAGCATCACATTCGTAACCCCTATTTTTTTTATTTTTTTTATTTACTGGCACATGTTGTCGATACAGTAGATCATAACGCATTATCTGTCGATATTATATATCGCGACGATCTTCCAGCATATTTCAGCACAATCGTTCAGCACAATTGTTCACGTTCTTTAGCATATTTCAGCACAATCGTTCAGCACAATTGTTCACGTTCTTTAGCATAATTCAGCACAATCGTTCACGTTCTTCAATATAATAGACCACGCCACTTCTTCTTTTAGCTACCTTTTACTGTTGCTCGGCCTATTAATGTAATAAAGAAATTATATAGAGTTAGAATAGTGTCACTTCTAATATAGCAAAAGATAATGTATAAAATAAAAGAAAAAGAAAAGAAAAGAAAAGAAAAAAGAAAGAAAAGAAAAAAAGAAAATAAAATTGTGTACATTACCTTTTCTCCAAGAGAAATACTTGTAAAAATCGTTTTATTAGAATCATAATTCTAACGTGTTGGTTAGGTTCTTTCCACCAGAAAAGACGACATGTTGGTTAGGTTCTTTCCACCAGAAAAGACAACGTGTAGGTTAGGTTCTTTCTACCAGAAAAGACAACGTGTTGGTTAGGTTCTTTCCACCTGAAAAGACGACGAATTGGTTAGGTCCTTTAATCCAGAAAAGGCGAAACGCATCATTGATTGAATGATTTGATTGATCCGAGTTTAAGGCTTTTAGCTAGAAAAAGCACAGGAATAAAAAGAATAGATTAGTTAATAATTAATATACAAATTCTCCTTTACCCTACCTCATAATTACCTTTGAAGCGACCATAATAAACGATATCCGAAGATATCGGCACAGGATTTAGATCAACTAGTAATATTAGTCTAATTGCCCTCTCCCACCCATAGTCACAGTGCACAAATTTTCCTAAATCCACGAAACTTCAACCCACCTGTGACAGTGCTACGCGGAATAACGTAGCGGTAAGCAGATTTTTCGTTCCAATAAGTTGCCATATTGCTTAAGTGCAAGTACAAAATTTTGAGATATACAGTTAGATTACGCAAGCAAATATTCCGTCACACAATAATCATGTTGCATGCTCAACATGTCACAGGTGTAGTATAATTCATGCTATCTACTGCGGGCGTGAAGCGCAATTTTTTTCTGTAATATCACAATCAAAATCACGTTTGCGTGAACATGATCGCCAAAACTCATGAGAAGCTATCCACAATACTTTGTATTTGTGTGCCTGTCAGATTCGAAATTGTGTTTTGCACTATATGTCCGAATTCGTTTGATTTTTTTCACTCCAATCTGACTGAACAATGTATAGATGGCTCTCGCTTTTTTTGCAAATTGTCCTTAGCTATGTTTGGAAGATGGTCCGTCATTTCACTATATACTTGAGACCTTGCCTTCTGTCACCGATTCTATTGTCACCATTCATAATTTCTTTGACCTATTTTTCAAACCCCGCCGCATAGTAATATCAACACCAAATTTCCCATTGATATGCATAAGTCACGTTTTTTCGCTTTTAGCGCTTTTTGATATAGCCGACAAAACTTCAGGGTAATGATCAATCAGGTATCTCATTCTCATCGGCTTCGTCAGATTCACCTTTAGTGAGTGTGGATAGTTCGGTTATCAAACCTTGTACTTTATTCGGAGGTGTTGGTTCTCGGCCTTGCTCATCGTTGGTTTGATTCGACTGACTTTGTATGGGTGCAGTCGGCGGTGGACTCCGATCGTCTTGTATTATTATAGTATTTGATTGCGTTCGTTGATAGACTTTACTGCCGTCTTCCTCCTTGATAATTTCGATGCGTCGTGAATGCTCGAAGTGGAACCGATAAAATTTGCCCGTTACATTGTGGCAATTACTTAGCGTCGGAATGTCGACTCCCTCATTGAGAAAGCCTGGTATGTTTTTTAGAAAATTCAATGTGAGTGCCTGGAGATGGTAGTTTCCATAATGGGGAAAAAATTCCTCTTGATTCTCGTCTCCCTTACCTATATACTTTTTCTAGCGTCGATTGTTACATAAGAAATCGTTCATTAAATTTGCGAACCCGAAATTGCTTTTATTATCTGGATTGCATATCTCAGAGGTGATTAGTTACGCATTAAAAAATTCATTTCTTTATTAATGAAAAAATAAATTATAATCGGGATACGACATCATTTTTTGACATGATATCCCTCGACCTTAGTTAGCCCTTTTTGTAGCTGGAGATTTTTCAACACACGCGCTATCTTTTAACAAAGCTACGATAACACCCAATACCTTTTTTACGCTCTTGCGTAAGGCGTGATATTCCTCCGAATTCTCAATCAAAGCTTCATCTGTGAATTCGAATACGATGGTGTATGATCGTTTGATCCCAGCTATGTATTGGCACAGCAACTAGAAAAGTTTCAGCGAAGCAGACACAGCCATTATAAAAGTGCGTAAGAAATACTATGTGTCTTCATGACACTAGCTCCGCTATCATAGCAGATGTCACAATTAAAATATATAATTTAATACTTACGTTGTAATCTCTAACAAGATTTTGAAATCTATTTTTACAATGGTATCCCGTATAGCTAGTTCTAAATCGTGTATTGATTGTATTTTGATGCTATTACCCTGCAATATCATGATACTCGCTATTTTTGGTTTTTATATTAGTAAGTGCAAGTCCACATCACAGAAATTTATTCACTGCGATAATGCTAGTCAATTTGCCAGAGGTAGTCGCATCGCGGTTATTTCTCATACAATTATATATGAAAAAAAGCTTATCGTGACTACATCGCACCTTCATCGCACCTTCTCATCGCATCTTCTCATCACACCTATATTGCATCTTAATTGAGGGTAGACAGTATGTTGATCTTTTTGAATATACATATAATGACGATGACCATTACCGTTACGTACAATTTTTATATTGATATCGTTATATTTTGATAAATCATAAAAATGAAAATTACAAGCTAATAATATCTATATACCTATATACGTATATACATTATACTGATAAATTTAATATTACGTATCCAATATTTCCAAGTATTTATATTTGCTTGGGAATAACACCACAAATAAATGCACTACATGCTAAAAAAATCGAACTCAGATACAGTATTCTGCTTTACATATTCCCACAAAATCAAATCTGATAAAGCGTAAAAAGCTAAATCTTTCGTTTTCAACAATTTTGGTAACAAACCCTTTTCGCTTCATTTTTGCATTAGTGGCACGGGTAAAAATATCAAAAATATCATCCGCAATTATTTGTTCATCGAATTCTAAGGTTTAATGTTTCAATCACCTCCAATAATTCCATAACTTCATTTTTTGCATCAACTAAACGAGGATTATATTCAATACAATTATCACATTTGTTGCATTCTGAACAGTTGTCATCCTCTTCCTATGAATAACACTTCGTGAGTAACTGAATATGACATGTATATTGAGTGCGACAGAAAGAGTACTTCAAATATACTTTTGGCAACTTTTTCTAAAACATATTTGCGTGCATCATCATTGTGTTAATTTCTAAAAGGATATTAGAATAAGCACTAAGTATGAATACTAAAACAATATTTGATTTAAAAAGAACATAATACCTACGTTGCTCGATTTTTGCAATAATTCCATAATTCGTTCGGATACCAGAATAATATATGAAAATTCTGGATGGATAACCATCACGTCCTGCACGACCCGCTCCCTGAATCAACTTGCCTAATTTATATTAATAAAAATCAATTTTATTCTAAATAAAAATTTCAATAGTTAATACATACCTATTGATAAGGACTAGGAGTTAAAATAACACAACAAACACCTTGAGAATTAATACCCATTCCAAATGCTGTCATAATCTTTGTTATATCTTGCTTCCATTTTAACATTACTTGTTTTTGAATATCATCAAGACCTCCATGATAAATATCAAAATCAATATTTGTCATTCTTGATTGCAATAATTGTAATAATTCATCACAATTATCACGAGTAACACAATAAATTATAATTCGACCTTCTTTGATTTCTTGAATAATTATTTCAAGCTCATCGACAAAAACTAATTTAGCTTCTTTTTTTTCGAACTTCAAAAATTAATTCATCCCGTGTGAAAGAAGTGCCTCGAATTATATTCCAATGATCAATAGGAATTTTTAGATTCTTTACGATTTGCTCAACATCATTGCGTGTCACTGTTGCAGATAATAACATAAGTGGAATATTGGGCCATTCTTCATGTATAATATTTAAATTTCTCCATGAATTTCTATAAAATTAGTTATTAATATTTTATTGTTAATTGATATTAATATATAATTTAAAGTAATATATGTACAGTATCGCCCGATACAAAATTAAAAATAAAAATTTAGACCATTTTTCAATTTATTTGATTTTGTCAATTTATACACCAAATAAAAAATAAAATTTATTTAATATTTAATTGACCTTCCATTTGACTCAATACTGCATTAATTCTTCGTGGGATTGTGCAGTAACCCGTTCTAAAATGGCCACATCAAGTTTTTCACACTCCATCTTCAGTACAATTTTAAGTTCGTCCATAGTCGTCGGAAAGCTCTCATTTTTTTGAATATTGTCCTTTAATATCTTTCAAATGTTCTCTATTGGACTCAGGTCTGGGGAATTCGCGGCCAATTAATAATCACGATTATATTTTCCCTTGATTTTTCTCGCAGTATGTATCGGCGCATTGTCATGTTGAAAGATTGCGTAACTTCCAGTTAATTCCCTAATTGCGTTCTGGAATGGAAGTAATTGAGTTTTTAAGAATTCTAGGTAAGTATTTGCAGTTATTTTTTCGCCATTTTTTTATATTCATTACAAAAAATTAATGGTCCTTCCGCGAAATATTCCCAAACCATTACATATTTTTGTCCACTTTTAAAGGTAGGCGCCAAACATTAACGTTAAACTTTTCTCTAGGATGCTGCCAAACTCTTAGCTGCCATGACTGCTTTCTAATTTCCACACTGGTTTCATCAGAGAAAATTATTTTCGACTAATCATAAGCTGATTTATTTTTATTTTCTTCACACCATTTAATATGAGCATATATATATATATGTTTTCCGAGATATAAGGTTTCTTTGCTGCGATACGTGAGTTAAGTCCGGAGTTGTGCAATACATTTGCGACAGTTGATAAACTACAAATGAGGCCTAAATTGTTGACTATTTTGCGTATTAGTAAATCCTTTTCGTGATTGTTTAAGGCTGGTGATCTGCCTGAACGTGGTAAGTTTTCACTTATCTGGTTCGTTTAGAAAGCGGCGTACCATTTTAGGGTCGCGTCCGAGTATTTTTGCGATTTGAGCGGCATTTGTGGTGTCCATGTACGTCAAAATCTTCCCTTTTCAATTTCGTTAAGCTGCGTATAGGTGGATACCATTTTTTAACCTAACGAAATTATAGTGTTGACGAAGTGGCAAATGATAAATAAAGTGATGATGTTGATTATCAAAAAAAAAGGGAGAAAACTTGATAAATGTATTTTTAAAAAATGGTTACACACGTAATCGGGCGATACTTTCTGTGGGGTACTGTACATGTCAATATTTCATTAATTCTTTGAACTGGCCATGAGTACTTTAAAAACAGTTTAAAGCTCAATCCAGAAAAATATTTCTTTTAAAATCATACTACATGTACTGTACATATCGATATATTATTATCGTTATCTCAATCACTGGGTATACACAGATGGTCTGATAGGCATGTTTTTGCTATCGTTACTCTTACACACCATTAGTTAACGTTCGGATCATGTGATTTTTAAGAATCAAATAGCAAATATGAACAACAATAGCATTTTAAGGTTAGGATTATATGATTATATGCACGCAAGACCTCCCCCCTTCCTCAGTAAAGTTTTCGAAAGGGAATATTTTTTATTAGACCACATTCAAACTACAGTCAACCCCCGTTAATATGACCCCCGATAGTATGACAATCGCGTTAGTATGACCAAACTGTGAAATCCAAACTATTAAAGCCTTTTTTGCTCCCAATATAATGACATCCACTAGTACTCATTATTATGACTATGACCAAAAAATCCTGAAATAGTAATATGATGTCATAATAACGGGGTTCATATGAATATAATTTTTTTGTTCATTACTCTTCACTTCTACGTTCTAATCTTCGAAAAGGTTATTATCTCTTCATTCATTTCCCAGGTTATTTCTAATTTATTTTTTAGGTACTAGTTATTAACAAAATATAATGAACATCAATTTTTACGCATTTTTTGCATCTTTTATTCATTATGTCTGATACAGAACCTCTCGCTGAAACATCTGATACGAACATATCTATTTTCCTACCACCACTTCCGACATCATCACTCCCAACACCACCACTTCCAATATCACCACTCCCAACACCACCTAAGAACAAACGGCACCAACAAGAAACTACACATGCTGAAAAAAAGATAATTTGTGAGTTTGCAAAAACTGTTGAAAAAGATCGAACATGGACTCACCAGGCCATAGCTAACAAGTTTCAGAAGACACGTATCTTTATCACCACATTGCTTCAACAAAAAGACAAGTGGCTAAATTATGACGTAAATCAAAGAAAAAAACATATTCGTGAGCGTGCACCAAGATTTCCTCAAATAGAAGAAGGATTATGGATGTGGTATCTTGGAGCTATGCATGCTAGCATCTTTGTCACTGATGCTATTCTATTGGAAAAAGCAGGTCTTATTGCTACATAATTAGGTGTAAATAATGAAACTTTCAGAAAATCAAATGGATGGTTGAATCAGTTCAAAACTCGTCACGGTATACACCAAATCACATTACATGGTGAAGCAGATAGTGTTCCACTTGATAATCTTCCTGAGTTTCATGCCACTCTTCAAGAACTTCTTTCAACATATCATCCTAATGATATTTTTAATACTGATGAAACTGGCCTTTTTTGGAAAATGATGCCAAACAAAACACTTGCTATCACGTCGCGTGCTGGAAAAAAAGTATTAAAGGATCAAGTTATAGTTATGCTTTGCTGCAATTCATCAGTACTGAAAAAATCCACCCACTTGTTATCGGTCATGCAAAGATACCATGACCATTTCATAGAATCAACATAAATAATTTACCAGTTGATTACACCTTTAATAAAAAGGCTTGGATGACTGGTATTTTATTTGAACCTTGGATTAAAAAATTAGATGCTCAAATGCGCATTCAGAATCGTCAAATTCTCTTCCTTCTTGATAATGCATCAGGACACATTGAACACGGTCTCACACTTAGCAATATCATGATCAAATTTCTTCTACCTAATACTACCAGTCATTTACAACCACTGGATGCTGGAATAATAAAATCATTCAAAGTTCATTATCGCAATCTTCACATTCATTGGCTTCTTCAGCAATATGAAAATGATACTATGAACATACCTCCGACTTTATTAGATGCTATATACAATATTGCCAGTGCTTGGGATACAGTTACCACTACTACCATTTCGAATTGCTAGAAAAAAATGGGTATTATGAATACTAATGACATGACTGCCACCACACATTTTGTCGAGACCAATATACAAGATGAAGAATTACAATTAAATTCAGCTTTGAATATTCTTGAACCTTTGGTAAATTATAAAATCTTGAATCCTCAAGAATATATTGACATTCCTGCTGAAAATGAAGCTATTCACCACATGCTTAGCATTGAAGAAATAGTGAATACCATTAGTCAATCAGACGATATTGATAATAGTGATAATAATGGACCAGAGTTTCCTAAAATATCAATTTCATTAGCTCTTTCTTCTATTCATAATATTTCTCTTTTTCTTCAGCAAGAAGATCCTTCTTTATCTACTCAAAATTGACTTACCATTCTCCGAAAGCTTACTCGTGAGCTTAATAATATGTTTATTGAAAGAAAAACTCAAAAAACTCTTAATGATTATGTAAAACCTATTTAATTATCATTTTATTAATAAATTTAACTTTATTTATAATATGATTTATATTATGACACCCCATTATTATGACCAAAATATTTGGAACCGATGATGTCATATTAATAGGGGTTGACTGTATTTTAAAATTTTTCTGATACACATCGTTCTTTTGATTTGATTAGTTTTACTCTTAAAAATCACTTAACCCAAATATTTTTATGACTGGTATTAGCACATGAAAGTTTTCACTTTATATATCTTTAATAGCTACGAAAATATGTGCGTATATTATAACATTGGTCATTTTTGTCTGGACAAAATTTCTCCTTATCATCAAAAAAAAATCTGTTTAGTCATAACTTTGGTATGCTTTTGTTTTGTACATGTACATATATATGTAATTGAATCTAGCTACATACATGTATATAGGTTCAAAAGAAAATCTGTCATGTACATGTTCTAAAACGAAGCACTCTAACTTCATGTAATGCACGTTGAGCAAAGAAAATTAGCAAGAAATGGTTTTATATTGATTACAGAAAACTCAATATCTTCACAAAGAAAGATACTTACCCATTATTATGAATTGATAAAATGATAGATAATCTTGAAGATGATATAGGTGCATTACATATAAATTGCAAAATCAATATGTAACGGAAAAATTCAAAGCAAAGTTCACTCATCAATAATATTAGTTATCATTAATGACAAAAATATCTAGCTATTTGTTTTGACATTGTTAAAATTTAATAAATAGGTTTGATTTTCTGAAGCCTGGCTTTGCAAAAAAAATAAATACTGTTTTTACAAAACAAGACAACTTAGAATTTTCTAAATAAAAAACTATGTGTTAAAATTTGAAAAGAAATGCAAACAGCTTAAAATTAATAAAAACTAACTGGATGCAAATGTATTATCACTACTATGAACTTTTGATATGTTGCTAAGACAAGGAATCAATCTGTTGTGTAAATGGCTCCTAAATGAAGATTTGGTTTTCTAACATCTGTTATACGTGTAGATGCAGCTAATTCATCTTTATCGATATCTTTATTTATTACGCTAAACCATAATTTCTTATTCTTCTAACTTGAATGGTATCAGGCTGCTTTTTGGATCTTGATACCAATATTTTTTTATCAAATCCTTCCAAGATTTCGGTATGACATAAGGAATTTTTGGTCTGAGACTATCACATATATCTAATTAAAGATGAATATGACTACGATCACCAAATGGATATTCACCACCAAAGGCAATTTCAGCCATAATAATTCTAATCACGTAATATCAGCTGCTTTTGTACACAACTGACCACTAAATAATTCAGGTGTCATATAAGGCATAATGCCATATGATCTTTTGAATCATCAATATAACCTTCTAAAACCAATCTACCTTTAAGCATAGCACATTTCCATTATGAAGGTCACCATGGATAAAATTTTTTGAGTGTATAAGTTCTAGATTATTAACAATTCCTTCCAATAATTCAACTCATCGATACCAAGTTAAATTTTCATTTTCTTTTTGTATATATTATTTATATTGCCATTTTGTGGTTTTTTCTGAAAGAATTCTCAATTCTATTGTTATTACAAAATTTTTTTCGAATGAAACTTTATTTTTAATTAAAAAATTTTTTTGTAAAAACTTTATAAATAAAATAAAACATTCAGAAAACATTAAAAATTATATAATAAATTTTAATTAATAAATTATAATATATTATGATATCTTTTCTAATAAATCAAATTTTTTTCTGTATCTAATTTGATAAATAATTAAAAAAGATATAAATATAATTATTTATTATAGAATTTTCAATAATATTAATAGTTCAAACTCATATTTTTTTTAATATTTAAAATCATAATTCTAAGCTATTAATAATTAATTTATAAATAAATACTAATAATATTAATAAATAATTAATATATATATTTTACTATAGATAAATATTATAATATTAATAGATAGTTAATATATTATTCATTACTAGATTAAATTAAAAAGTCAAAATCTGACTTTTAATCTTAATAATAATTAGGAATGTTATTTAAAATTGATAAAATTATTTCTTTTTGATCTCAATCAAAATTAATTAGCATGAAATTTAAAAATAAGTTACTTACCAAAATATAATTATTTTGATAAAAAATGAGTAATTTCACTAAAATCACTGGTTTGAGCCATATAGTTTAAGTAATTTACTATAAGTTTGAGATTGTATTTTATTTAAAATTACTAAGTAACACCAGTTTTTAATATTACAAATTAAATATTCAAAATTTATAATAACTAAAATTCCCAATTTGTTTAAATCATCGCATGGAAATTAGAAAAGTTTTTGATTATTTGGGGTAAGTTAAAGGGGAAAGAGAGGGAGATTGTCTACTTTATATTCTATGACTAGGCTAATTCTAATTGTTTCTTTATCGTTATTTGGACCAAAAGTCTTAAACTCAATCTATCAATCATTTCTGGATCAAGGATCTAACCAATACGTTGTCTTTTCTAGCACAAAGAACCTAACCTAACCTACATGATATGATTACAATAACGATTGTAACGATTGGAGAAGAATTGTATGTAATTACTTCTTTTGAAAATTTTCATATTTTTATTTTTTTATTCTCTATCTCCTTTTTTTTTATTGATGACTCAAGGGCCATCTTTATATACATTTTCGTTAAAGCCTAATCAACTAAAGAAACGTTAATTATTCTATATAATTTATTGTACTATCGACATTTCTTCGCCAAAGGATACAACAAAAGAATAAGACAAAATAAATGCTACAAGACATGCTGCAGAACATGCTGAAAAAACTTCTGTAGAGCATACACAACTTGGCAGATACTGATCTTGCCGTAATTTTTGGCTTATATTAGCGTTAGCGAATTATATTAGTGAAATTATCGAAGTAATGGTAACGGTAACAACACGAAATCGAGGATAAAGTTAACTGATTTTATCGAAAAGTAATTGCAATCTCTTTGTATTTATTCATTCTACGAACGAAATAAATGAATAAATCATCACTGCTGCTTTTGTGAATTAAATAGTTAATCCAGCGATATAAAAACATTCGCAATAACTACAATCAAAATAAATACCCATTTTAAAATCCATGTATCAAAACGTTTTTTACATACAAGCAATAAAAGAGCTGCATACAAACTCAAAGATGGAATTCATTGTAAATGTATTCGTTGTCGGAATATATACCGTCACAATCATGATTGTAGAAAATGTTTCCATTGTCAAATATCACACACGAATTTATAACGATGAATTGTCTAGCGGAGATAAAGATATCGACAATCTAATAAAAGAATGCAACAAAATCAATTATAAATATCCAAATATATTCCTTTTGAAAGATTTGCCAATGTTGAATATCTTGCAAATGGAGGTCTTGGATCAATTTACAAAGCAACTTGGTTGGATTGTTACACTCACATTCTCAAGTAATCTAAAGCAAATTCCATCGAGTTTATACACGAGGTAAAAATAACCATTTTCTAAAGTGTAAATTGCTTTTTGTTTTCTAATACAATTAAATTTTTCAAAAATAGATTCAAACGGGGCTATGTTTACGGCTACCTGATAGCATATTATGTAATGACTAAAAACCCCAGTTACAAACGAACTTCGCAAATATAAAATGAACTCAAAGATGAAATCGAATACTCATCATTGCAATGAATGTATTGATTGTCAAGTGAATAGATACTGCGATGAGTGTTTAATTCACAATACTCATCAAGTTGCAGCTCTTTGATTTACATGTAATCTAGCACACCAGCCTAAGAAATCCATCTTTGAACGTCATGATTATTTTTTTTGAGATTATATATATCTGCTATTATTTAATATAGTTATTACGTTTAATCAAAAGTTGTGAATTTCCCTCCATTGTGAACATCAAGCCATTCAAGAGCTCCTGCCCACGTCTGTCTTCCAAACAACCGATACTAAAAATATCACATTAGAAAGTATCCAGCACAACAATATAAATATGCATATTATGTAAAACAACCATACTTGAACACTGGTTGGCACACCAAATAAAACATTTTTCCAGGCTTTATATCCGAAATTCCACCAAACTTTTATGGGAGTGGGTAAACATCCAATATCTTTTGCCAGACAATCAAGATATGGTATAAGTGGTGCTCGGATCGAAGGATATTTCGAGTTTTCTCTGCGTGGACAATCGGTACATGAGGATATTGCTTTATCCATTTCTTCAGGTGATGGTAAACTTTTTATTTCGCCTTTGATTAATCCCGTTATATACCTTGCTTGCATCTCGCTTTCAATAAAGAAATTAAATAGTTATTATTTTCATTTATATTTTTCTCGGATACAATAATTAAATTACCTTGTTGGTAAGTATGAACCAAAGGGATAAATCGCCCCAATAAACGCAATATTCTGATACCGAGGCGGAAAAATCATTTTATACAACCACGTCGTATGCCAATTCTCACTATCCGATCCTTGAACATCCTCTGAGAAATCTATGCCACCATAGAGAATTTGCCTCCAATTCTCCAAAAACGGAAGCTCCAACGAATACCCAGTCGCATAAATCACCACGTCAATATCCGTCAAAGTAGTGCCATCTATCAATTCTATTTCGCGATTTGGCTTCAATTCACGGATGTTTGTTTTCAGGACGATTGTGCCGGTATCTAGTCGTTCCGGAAATTCAGAGCACAAAACGCATATTGATGAGAAGAATGAAGTTCTTGGTCTTAATTCAGGTGGGGGTTGACCGGATATTTTGTTTATGATGGATTCGAACATATAGTTTTGTATTTTGACTGGAAAATAGGAGTTTATGCGTTTTAATGTGTGGTCAGCTGGTTGACCGTGTAGAAGTCGGCGAGGTAAAATCCATGGCATGCATCCTATAATTTAGATTGCACTCAATATTTGATAGCTATATTTGTTGATAACCTTATTTTCAAACATACCATCTCTTGAACACAAATACACTTGTGATGTAAAATTTGACAACTCACAGGCTATTTCTACTCCACTTTAAAAAATAAAAATCAATCCACATGCGTAAACACAAAACTCAAAATAATTAATTTTCGAATCACCTATTTCCAACACCGACAACTACGATACGTTTATTCTCAAAAGGTTTCGGTCTAGAAGAAAGTCATCGTCAAAATTATAAGTTGTATAAATGGAAAATCAATAAATTTTTTCCTTACGTTCGATAAAGATGTGAATGCATCTGTTTCCCGCCAAAAGTATCTCTTCCATTATAATTAGGAATCCAACCAGCACTATCTTTGCCCGTGCATATTATTACATAATCGAATTCTTCTTCATTCATATCTGAATCTGTATTTGAAGTTGTGATTGTTTCATTTGATTGCTGTAGTTTTTGATATTTGACTTTCCAGCAATTATTAGATAATTGAGAAACTTTGATGACTTTGGTGTTCAGATTGATGTACGGGTAAAGATCAAAGTTTTCAGCGTACGATTCCAAGTATCTATTGTATAAATCATCATTATACTGAAATGAATGAGAGCAAAATAAGTTGGAAATCCTATCTTACTGTCGTATCAGTTTATGCGGCAAATAGGTCGGCCAATTATTTGGAATTGGGAAATCAGAGAAACATGTCTAATATTGTGAAAATATTTGAATGAAGCATTCAAAAAAATGAATTGATTAAATGTGAATGATTTTTTAATAATAAAAATCCCGAATTACCGCAATCCGACTCGTATTCGTAATTGCAGATTTATACATTGACGAATGTGGATCAGGATTTTTTTCGTCAACTTCTACATATCTCCATTGCCCACCAATAGCCGAATCTTGTTCAAAACACACCGGATCCAAGTCGTCAGCAAGACATTGTTTAATAGCCGCCAAACCAGATACACCTATTGAATTGAACAACAAAATAATAATTAATTTTAAATTCTTATTAGGTATATAGCTATTTGAAAATCTTACCAGCTCCAATAATAGCAATACGTGGTTTCCTCACGTTTTCTAAACTTCCATATGTATTTACGTCAAGGCTGACGAAGGGAGTATTAGGTTTAGCATCCATTACAGAATTATTATCGCGAGAAAAAAAGACTGCATGTACATGTATTGATTAAAAAGACATTGATTTCAAAAAGGCTGGCTGTGTGCATGTTGTGTTTCCTTTTTTTGAATTCTATAGATATTGCACGCAAGAAATCTGTGCCAGGTTTTGTCGATCATCTGTCACGTGTATTATAATTAGCCACAATCCGGCGGCCGACACCCATTTATTAAAGTTCGAAAGAAGTTACCATTTTTAGAATCTTGTTCATACACACATAAAATTCGAGTTTTGATTGGCGTTTCTCTAAAAACAAACATTTCAGTCTGTCGAAGTGATGCAGAAAAGAAAAGAAAACACCGTAAGTATTTAGTGAGCATTAAAATGCATGTTGACATGCTTTCGAGAAAAACCTAAACTTTAAACTCAATTGGAATAGATGGAGAGCTCTATAAACTGTCACGACACCAATTCTGAACATCATTTTTTTACGGCTGAACTATCTGGGTTACAGTTACTCTGTTTTTGAGATTCGGCATATATTACAGCGAAAGACTTGGATTAGATCATTATACTCAGTTTTGTATATATTGCATGTAATAGGCTTTGTTTATTTATATCTTTTAATATATTGAT